CTTCCTCATCCATCTTCCTCAAAGGGTCCTCCTCACCCCATCCTCCTCACAGGATCTTCACCCCATCTTCCTCATAGTTTTTCTCACAGGGTTCTCCTCACCCCATCTTCCTCACGGTCTTCCTCACAGAATCCTCCTCACCCCATCCTCCTCCTGGGGTCCTCCTCTCATGTGTGGAGACCTTCTCAGTAAGTCCCTTGCCCAGTGTTCTTTCTGGAGAAGAAGTGTTTGGGTGACTTGAGTGAGAAATGTCAAGAATGGAAGAGTGTTCTCCTGAGTCTGAGGTGAGTAGGGGGCCCTGAGAAGAGCCCCCAACTGCTGGTGATGCCCCAGGATGTCTATTGCGGTATCTTCCCCCATCGCTCTGGAACGTTTTTTTTTTGGGGGGGTCACACCCAGCCAATGCTCAGGGGTTTCTCCTGGCTCTGCACTCAGGAATCACTCCTGGCGGTGCTTGGGGGACCATATGGGATGCTGGGAATTGAACCTGGGTCGGCCGCGTGCAAGGCAAACGCCCTACTCACTGTGCTATTGCTCCAGCCCCTGGAATGTTCTTTGAGACAAAGTTCCTGTTGTTTTCCTCCCCCAACTGATCCCGATCTTCCACGTCCTCCCACCCCCCACCAGACCTATGACTTCACTGGGGGTGTCAGTTAAGGGGTTCAGCTCAGGATGGCCTCTTCATTTTTTTCATATTTTTTTTGCAGTGCCGGGGCCTAACCCACACAGCTCCTCCTGCTGCACTGAGCCCCGTTGCCCCAAGAGAGTTCTTCAACTGGTCCTGGGCTGTTATCCAACTCCTGGTAACCCATGAGCAGCTGACCTTTGTTCTGGCTTCAAGAACATTCTGGGCTTCAAGAATGTTCTTGTCTCTGGCCTGGTTATCTTAGGAGAGGAAGGGGCGGGCCTGCAAGTCAGGTGCTCTCCTTCTGAGCTCTCTTTAGGGTCCCGGCTGCTTTCAAGTCTCACCATCAACGGGGGCTGTTTGCTCTTTGGTGGGCACCACTCCTAGTGAGATGCAGGGGACCGTGTGCACCTCAGGAAGCCAGTCCCAGCTCTTCGGACCACCTCCCTGCCGTCAGTGTGATCTTAAATAAGATACATCGAACAGTTAGGCACTAAAGAATGCAGGTTTTGCTTTTTCATATGCCAAGCTGGAGAGAAAGTACAGGGGCTAGGGCGCTGGCCTTGCACGTGACTGTCTTGGTTTCCTGAGAACTTTTAGCTAGTGGAGGAAAATTCTTAGTAATATGCAAATGGGCTGTAGCAGTAGCACAGCAGGTAGGGCGTTTGCCTTGCACATGGGTGACCCGGGTTCGATTCCTCCATCCCTCTCGGAGAGCCCAGCAAGCTACCAAGAGTATCCTGCCCGCATGGCAGAGCCTGGCAAAATCCCCATGACATATTCGATATCCCAAAAACAGTAACAACAAATCTCACAATGTAGATGTTACTGGTGCCCACTCGAGTATATCGATGAACGGGAGGACAGTGCTATAGTGCTACAATATGCAAGTAGTGAGGATGAGGCAGGAATCAAACGATGTGTAATTCATCTCCAACTGATTATACTACAGCCTCGGTAAATTGTTCCATCCATGGCACCAATAGAATGTCTAAAAATGGCATTTGAGACATTTTCTTTCAAGTATTTTTTTTTTAAAGCTTCCCAGTTTGGGGTTGGAGTGATAATACAGCAGGCAGGGGCATTGGCCTTGCACGGGCCCGACCCACGTTCAATCCCCAGCAGCCCACATGGTCCCTCTGTGCACAGCCAGGACTCATTCTTGAGTGCACAGCCAGGAGGAACATCTGAGTATCTCTGGGTGTGACCCAAAAGAAAAAAAAAAAGGGCTTTCCAACTTAAGTAGTTAAGTAAAATTTCTCAGATTTTCCAAATGTAACTGAATTATAGACTTCATGTTTCCTGGAACCCAGATAACAAGCCCACAGGCCACCCCTCCCACATTCACTCTGTGGCCGGAACTAGACCAGTTCTGCTCTTGAGCAGGAGCGCTCTGGGTTGGCATCAACACTCCAGCACTTACTCCCTCAGAATGGCCATCTGCTCTCATCCATGACAGATCCCACCATGCAGCCCACCTCACAGGCTGCGGAGGCTGAAATCAGATGCAAAGCACCAACGGATCTTGGCACCCAACAAACACTTGCGCTCACGAGTCCCTGCAACGCTGGGAGAAAATTTGATTTGGGGGATAAGGGAGGGATGTCATACCTGGTAATGCTCAGGGTTACCTAGCTCTGTACTCAGGAAATCACCCCTGGCGGTGCTCGGGAGACCATCTGGATGCCAGGAATCGAACCTGGGTCGGCTGCATGCAAGGCAACCGCCTGCCCTACTCACTGTGTTATTGCTCCGGCCGCAGAAAATTTGATTTCTCTGTGACAACTATCAGCCCTAGGTCCTCACAGGTGTGATGCTCATAGCAGCTCTTTCCGAGCATTCTTTTGTGTTTGTCCATATAGCTGTTCTATAGAGAAGTTCAATTTCTGGAATAGTTTTTCAATTGATTGTTAATTACTTTGGCTGCTTCATCATTTCTAAAATTTTTTAGGGGGGTGCACTCCCAAATATACCCAGGCTGGCCAAGGACCCCTCCCGGTGTCTGAGCTGATTGGGCCTGCCATTCAATGCCAGGGCCTGAGGACTTGGTGTTGAAGTGCCCAGGATTATGCTGGGGGTGCCCGGAGGCCTCAGGAGCTCGCCTGGAGTGATCCCTGAGTGCAGAGCTAGGAATAAGCTCTGGACACAGCCAGGTATGGCCCCCAAACCAAATAAAGAAAATTGGCAATAAGGAAAGAAAAAGTAAAAAGGAATAAAAAGGAATGGTTTTAGTTGAATCCCAACTAACCTGCAATGTGAAAAATCTTTATTTTCTTACCAAGGGGTAGTGAAAAAATAAAGGACTTTATCCCCTCCCCCCTTGCATTTATCTATTTTTGTTTAAATTGTAGAAGGGTATTTCTATCAACTGCGGGGGGGGGGGGGGGGAGCCTTTTAAAAGTCAAGTTACTCATGCCCGCCAGTGTCTAGGAAGTCAAAATTGGACTACCACACTATTTGGAAGACAAAAGTCCACGGATTCCTACTAGACTCCCTCACACAGTAAAGCTGTTGGCTTTACTTTCCCAGCAAGGACAGCTGGGTCTGAGAGCTGCACTTGGCGGGTAACTAAGGCCCCTCATATGTGGAGCAAGCTCTCCTCAGCACCACTTTCGGTCTGAGGGTATCACGTGCTCGCGCGCGCGCGCGCGCGCGCGCGCGCGCGCGCGCGCACACACACACACACACACACACACACACACACACACACACACACACACACACACAGCGAGCATTTGACCAAGGTGCCAATCTATTTTGATAGATTCATGCCAAGGATCAAACCCCAGGGGTTTGATCTTATTATTGGCCTGTACTGTTGAGCCACAGTTCTAGCCCAGAGCAGGTTTGTGTGGATTTGAAGGTTTTGAGATTAAAGTCTAATTAATCCCAGCCAAATAAAAGCAAAAGGCCCCCAAAAATGAGTTAAAAATTGACAAAATCCTCAATCTTCTAACCTAACCATTAAAAATAAAATAATCCCCCACCAGACAGTACTGTGTGTAGGACACTTGTCTTGCAATAAAATAAAGAATTCAAAGTGACCAGAAAAAATACAATTTTGAGGCCAGAGCAATGGTACAATGAGTAAGGCATGACCCAGTTTCGATCCCCGGCCTCCCATATGATCCCCCAAGCACTGCCAAGAGTAACCACTGAGGACAGGTAGGGGTAACCCAAAAAACAAACAAAAAAATATTTCACACTAAATTACCTCTATCACCTCTAGCATATCAAAAGGCTACAGCAATTTAAAAGCATTTTCAGGGCCAGGGATGTGGCTCAGTGGTAAAGCCCACATCTGAGTGAGTCCTGAGCTTAAACCTTGGCAATGCAAAAAAAAAATAAAATTTTTTTTCAATAGCCTTTATATTAACTTGCCAACAAGCTAATTTAGGAAATTACTAAACCACCTAATTAGACACGTTACAGAAATGTCTATTCTAATACTTGGCTCGCTTTTCTGGTAATCATTGTCCCACAAAAGACATTTTAAGCATGAGGAAACAATACAGTGTTTTCACAATACATTCATGTCTGTTTCTCAATTAAGGCAACCCACTGACAGAATAGCACTGCTGGTATCCAGTTCAACATCCTTGAAAAAATTTTTGGTATTGAGGTGACACCCAGCTGTGCTCAGGGTTTACTTCTGCTCCATGAGCTATCAGGGTTTACACATGGCAAGTTCAGGGATCCCACAGGCAGCGCACACTACAAGTTCCTTCCTACTGTACGAATCTTTCCCATCCCCAAAGAATGAGTTTTGAAGGTAATCTAGTAAAATTAAAATTATTTCAAGGGTCAATTTTTGGTTTTACTCTGTACATTATAACTGCTTAGTGTAAAGACAAAACATCTCAAACCAGTCTTTTTTTTTTTTTTAAACCTGGCAGTGCTGAGAATACTCCTGGCTCTGTGCTCAGGGGCCAACTCCTGGTGGGGCTCTGGGAACCATATGTGGTGCCGGGGATCAAACCTGAGTTGGCCACATGCAAAGAGCCCTACCCGCCCACCGCTATCCTCTTGCTCCTGCACCTTGAACTAGTTTAAGAGGTGAATGTTCCAGAACCCGAAACCCAAGTAAAACAGGCACAGAACAGTGAAGAACCAAAGGATTCCACATCCCTGACAAATGTTAGAACAGGCCCTTCTGAGTGATGCTTTCTGGTTTTCTCAGTATCCTGTGAGATTTGTAATAAAAATTAGTTTCAAATCTGAAAAGAACCTGCTGACCTAGCATAAAAAAATTTATCATCTGAAAAAAAAAATCACCTGACGTAATTTGTAATAGACAATTTGAAGGAATTGGTCTGACTTGGGAAGGTGGGGAGTGGGAGGGGGAAAAAAAAACACAACTTCTTGAAAAGGTAAAATAGCTTAAAAGCATTTAATATCTAAACAAATCAATCTGTTAATAGTAGTCACAAAATATGTTTAATATAGAAACCCACATTTATGTCTTTAAGAAAAAGTGTTAAATTGTTTTACCTCAAAACATAAATTAACCCACTTAAAGAACCTGCAGTGCCAAAATTAGGGTGAATTTTAAACAACTTCAGAATAAAATAACCGTAAGTACTTTATACTGCTTTATATCTAAAAAATGCTTACAACTTCTCATAAAAATAGTTTGAAGCAACTATTTTTTCTTTTATTCTTAAACAGACACATCCAACATCATAGGCAACATTCTTAGAACCTTGAGCATCACAGACTTCCAGACATTCAAATACTATGGTCCCCTTTTCTTTGAGGTTTACCGAAGCTAGGGAAAGAAGGCATGGTTGACAGCTTAGTACATTTTCACCAAATTAATAGTACAAAAGTTTCCTGACTACAGAACTACACATCGTACCTATGAATCGTTAAAAATAGAAGACTGTTTTCTTCAGCCAGTACAACAGTATGCTGGTATGTTTCTCACATACATCTTTTAATGTTTACCATCATTCTTAAATTTACAACTTCCATGTATTAGATTGTAAATTTTCTGCAAAACTGGAAAAAAGCAATACAAAATTTGTGAAAGCCCATTTTTTTTTTATATTATACAAAAGAAGCCAGTTTTTCTCTTCAAATACCAGAATGCAGTGACATTAGGGACACATTATAGTAACTCCTGAGGATGCTTTAGTGCTGGAGGTAAGTTGACAGGCCTCGATTCTTCATCCAGGAGTACTAGGTCTTCAATTTCACTGCCTCTGTATTTCCGCTTACATATTTTCACTACTACCTTTTTCTTGAGAAACAACTTCAATGCTTCTCTTGATGCAACAGCTTTTGCATTTTCTTTGCTCTTTCCACAGCCAGTGCCCAAGTACACAGACTTGCACCTCAACTCGCAAACAATACTTTCTTGAGAGCTCTTATTCTGAGGCAAGTCTGCTAGTTCTTTCAGTGGGACAAAAAACACATCCAATGTTGCCTTCAAAGCCTCAATAGCTGCATTTAGGAGCTCGCCATGATTCACAGTAGGGCTAAAGCCACCAACAGCCACCAACTTCCACGCCACAGTTTTATACAGTCTATTGAAAAAAGGTTGCTTCTGCTTTACATCTTCGTTGGTTAACTTGCAACAAGAAAATCTGACAGAACTCTCACTGGGTTGTGAAGTACTTTTGGAAGGCAACTGTGATGTGCTAGTCTGAGAGCTACTCTTCGAAGCCAGCTGAGACACACTTGCTAAAGTAGTGCTTTTGGAAACCAGAGAGCCACTGGCCTGGGAGCTGCTCTTTGAAGCTAACAGTGAAGCAGCTACCTGGGAAGTGCTTTTGGAAGACAGTAGAGGATTGGTTGAGGGGATGCTCTTGGGGGTTAGCAGCGATGTGCTAGAGGAAGAACTGTTTTTAGAAACGGACGAGGATGCAGCACTTGCCTCTGAACTAGGTTTGGCAACTAACCCACTTGAAGCAGTCTCTGGATTAGGCTTAGAAGACAACAGTGGCAGCTCCACTTCTGCACGCCCCGAGGCCCCCAGCAAGGGCACCTCTACCTCAGACAGGCTTGAGGAGGTGGCCAGGGAAGACCCTTCCAGAGCGCTCCTTTTTGGAGATCCACTTCCTGGCCTGGAATCACTGGGCTGGCTCGAATGACTATTCACACTGGATTTCAACAAGGAACAGACAATTGCTGCTGCTCCAAGCTTGGCTGGGGCTTCTGAGTCAGCTTTCCCAGACCCTGCTGTTACCTGAGAGGACCCGCTGCTGCTTGGGCTGGCCCCGGCACACTCCGCATCACCTGTAGAGCTATTCTGCCGCCCCGAACTGCCGCTCTGAGCCGAGTTCCCACTCCGCTCTGTCTTGGCAGAGGATGAGCTGTTTTCCTGAGGGGCTGATGCACATTCTGTTCTGGCAGAAATTTTTGCATGGTCCTGCTCAACTGTAGAACCACCTTTTCCTTCTAAAATTCTTTTCTTCGATGTCTCTTCTACCCCTTCTGAAAAGAAAGAAAGCAAGTGACCAAGTGACCTCAGACAGCAACTGCACGTTTAAGTGAGAGAATCATTTTAATACTTGAGGCAAGAATATTTCAAGACAAATAATTTCTTTAAAAAGCACAAAAATCATGAGGAAATTATCGCATCAATCTCACAAGACAAGCCATCAATAATAAAAATTTTTGCTAAAAGAAAAACTCTATGGAGGCTGGAGTGATAGTACAGCGGAAAGGGCATTTGCAGGCGACCTGGGTTCAAGCCCTGGCACCCCACATGATTCAAGCACACCAACTATAAACCCTGAACACCGCTGGGCGTGGCTCTAAAAAGAAACAAAACAAGATAGTGTAGAGGACCAGGGAGATAGTATGGCAGTCAGGGCAGAGCACTGCAGGAAGTCAACCTGGGTTCAACTCCCAGCACCTCACAGGGTCGTCTGAGCACCTCCAGGAGTGATCCCTGAACAGCAGAGCCAGGAGTGAGCCCTGAACACTTGCCGGTGTGACCCCCAGATCAAAAACAGCAACATATTAAAAAAAAAAAAAAAGCAAAGACAACACCGTACACTCCAAACATCTCAAGTAGTCAAAGCAAACCAGCAAATTCAGAGCGCCACACACGCACAGACACGCCAATTAGGTTTGAGCATTCCAACTCTTAAAACAACAACAACAACAACAACACACGCAAACTCTAGCTTGTTTTGCTTTTTTTTTTTGTTTTAAAGAGCAAGGGGGAGAAAAAAAAATTAGTCGCGAGAGAAGTCGGGAATTAACAGCAAACTTATGTTCTAAACTCCTATGTATGTTCACAGCTATGATCTGCTAACCATTGCTACTCGATATCCCTCTTTTCTTCACCTTGGCAACCAGTTCGTCTCGGGTGGTATGGATTGGCGCATCTGTCACTTTGATGCCTTCAGCCATACTAAGTATTTTATCCATAACTTTTTGAGGGTACCTGCAAGCGAAGCGGGGGCGAAAACAACAACAACACACTTTTCTAAGTAAGAAAGAGAAACGAAGAGGAGACGGGGGCGGGGGGGCGGGGAGCTCCATCCTGGAGGCCTGAGGCGGGTGGTGGGAGTGGGGTGCGCGCCCGACCGAGGAGCGCTAACCGCCGGCCACTTTCGGTTTCCGGGATCCCCGCCCCGCCCCCCACCGCCGAGGCGCGTCCCGGGGGCTGAGGGGCGCTGAGGGGGCTGAGGGGCGGCGGCGGCGGGCCGGGGGCGCGCCCGCACTCACCGGCACCCCAGGAAGACGTGGTTGGCCCAGGCCATGGAGAAGGAGACGAGCTGCTGCAGCTGCCGCCCGCGGTCCCCGCTCTCGGCGTCGGCCGCGGCCTCGTCGCCGGGCAGCAGCTCGCCGGCGTTGCGGAGCAGGAACTCGCGGCGGTGGCGCCAGTGCTTGTCAGTCTCGCCGTCGCCGCGCAGCGCCTCCACCCAGGCGGCCGCGCGCGGCTTCTGCCTCAGGTACTCGGTCACGTCCTGCGCCATGTTGGGCCTGCACGTCGGCCCGAGGCGGCGCGGCGCGGCGCGGGCGCGGGCGAGCGCTGGCCCCGTCCGTGAGCGCGGCCTGGCCGCGGCGCCGGCTCTCAGGAGAACGCCCCTCCGCAGGCGTCGCCGCCGCCGCCGCCGCCCTCGCCCGACCACCGCGCCCCGCGCCGCCGCTCCGCCCACTTCCGCCCGCCGCCCGCGCCCGCCCTTTTATCCCCGCGGCCGCGCACGCGCACGGCAGCGGCCGCGCCGTCCTTCCGGAAGCGCGGCGCGCCGCCTCGCCCCCACAATGCCTCGCGACGCGCGAGCCTCGGCGCCCGAGGCCCCCGGCGGGCCGGACGCGCCGTCCGCCTGCCGCCGCCCGCGCCCGCCGCGCCCGCCGCGCCGCCGCCGCCGCCTGCGAGCGGGGCTTTGTGACGCCGCCGCGGTTGCCAGGCGCGCGCTCGGGGACGTCGCGGCGCCGGAAGAGGCAAAGCGGCGGCCTTTGTGCGGGGGCCGGCGGGAGGCCGCGGGCTGCGCAGTCACCTCAGGGAGTCACCCGAGCGCGGGCGACGCGCCCGAACGTTGGGTCGGACGCGGCGGCCCAGACGCGGCGTCTCTCGGCGGGTTGAGAGAGACAGCGGACGGGCCGGGGGGAGAAGTAAACGCGCCCGCGTCGCGTCCCGCAGCTCCCCTCAGCCCGCTCGTCTCTTTGGCGTTTTGTCCTCCCCCCTCCCCACACACGCGAAACGGACGCCCCTGGGACGTGGCCGCGGCCGCTCGGTGGTTTTCGCTCCAAGCTCGGGTGTTCTTAAGGCGAACGCGTCTAGGACGTTCGGTGACACACGACCCGAGACGGAAAGCCCGGGCAGTCGGGGCGCGGGAGCACAAAGGAATGACCGCCTGGCTGTGTGAAGCGAAGTGGAAACCGGCCGCTGACAAGCCGGGCCGAGCAAGGGGCAGCTTTTTTTTTTTTTTTTTAAATTAGGAAAACAATGCCCAGTTGGCCATCCCTCTCAGGAGCTTGCTTAAAATTTGAAGCACAAAGAGATTTTGAGAGGGGGTTTGGCCTCGACTTTTGCCCTTCTTGGTTGCATTTCCTTTCTTTTTCTTTTTTATTTTTTTTTGGGGGAGTGAGGGTGGGTGACACGAAGTGATGCTCAGGAATTACTCCCGGCAGTGCTCCAGTACCTTATGGGATACCGGGACTCAAAAACGCCCTCCCTTCTGTACTGTAGCACTTGATTGCGTTTCACTGAAAATTGTGGAAACTAAATTTATAGAGGATCGCAGAAATGTGTTCTTTGAAAAGAAGAGAGAGATGTTAGGGTTTTTCCTGTTACTCCTTTTTTTTCTTTTTTAGCAAAGGAGAAGCAAAAGTAAAAGACGATAATCACATAACTGGATGGTATTTATGAGTTTAATTTCGGGGGGAATAGAAGGTAGATGCCAAAACCCAGTGTCTGACATGGAAAGTAGGTTCTCTACCAAGAGCCACGTCTTGGATTCTATGTTTGTAAATTTCAAAGTTTTTTTTTTTTTTTTTGCTTTTCTAGTCTTTGATGGTTGACCAGTAGAGCTTGAACTTGAAACTAACTTTTTTAAAAAAATAAAAGCAATACAGTCTCAAAGCTGCCATATTTATTTGAAAGAATGGGGTGGGAGGGCTTGAAGGGCTGGAGAGAGTACAGGGATTAAGGCTCATACCTTGTGTAAACCCACCCCAGTTTGATCCACTTGGTTCCCCCAGCCCCACCAGACGTGATCCCTGAGCACAGCTGTGTGTGACACCCCCCTTCCCAAAGAAAAGTTCCTAGAGAAAAGGTGGATGTAGCTTATAAATGCCTTTGCCAATGATACAAAATAAAAATTTGGGGGCTAACACAGTAATATAGCTGGTAGGGTGCTTGCCATACACACTGCAGACCCTTGTTCTTTCCCTGGTGCCCCCCAGGTGTGATCCCTGAACACTGCAGGTTGTGACCCAAAGACCAAAAAAAAAGTTTGATAAGTCCTGTGCCCACCTAAGAAGAATGGACCTTCGGCCTCACTCCAGAGTGGGGTATCTGGAGAGATCAACTAGCTACAAAAATTCCTCAGATACAGCAACCTTGGCTGACTGAGAACTCTAGGGCACTCTTGGGAGGGGGACAGACCAAGTCCCTGCCAGTAGCAGCCCCAGGAGCTGCACTCAACCTCAACAGCTGCCACTATGCCTTACCACCTCACAACTCAGTATCCGAGTACTATCTGAAACCACACCTACATTCCACCACCGCAACTGTGTAAGCTCACTAGGCAGTTAAATATTCTGGATTTTCTAGAGCTTGCTGTGACATCTCCAAACTCGACAATACTAACACCACAGTAGGAGAACATCAGATTGGATAGGAATGGAACAGAAACTTCTAAGCTTGTTTAACACAGAAGGCTCAACTAGCAACAGTTTAGTAAATCCTCAAGGACTTAATGTCCCAATGGTGAGATAAAAGAGTTTTCACAAATTTTATTTTACCAAGGAGAAGAAGAACCAGACTATAAATCTAGTTCTATACTTGTAAGACTAGAAGTATAACTAGTCTAGTTCTCAGATAACCCTGTAAGCTACCGAGAGTATTCTGCCCACATGGCAGAGCCTGGCAAGCTCCTGTGGCATATTCAATATGCCAAAAATAGTAACAGTGATGTGTCTCATTCCCCTGACTCTGAAAGAGCTCCAACACGGCACCATTGGGAAGGATGAGTAAGCAGAGGCTGCTAAAATCTCAGGGCTAGGATGAATGCAGACATTACTGATGCCGGCTTGAGCAAATCGATGAATAACAGGATGATAGTGACTGTGATTTTACCGAAGTAGTTTTTGATAATATTATTAACTAGTTTTAACAAGCAATATAAAATAATTTTGGGCCTGCTACGGGGAAAGGCTTGAGGTGGGAAAACGGAGACAATGATAGAGGGAAGGTCACAGTGGTGGTGGGATTGGAGTTGGAATATTGAATGCATATAACATGCATCATGAACAATTTTGTAAACCACGGTGCTTAAGTAAGGTGGGGAAAATAAGATGAATTTTGAGTAAATTCAGTACTATTCAAAGTACAGAACTAAATACCATATTTTACCATAAATTTGCCACCATATAATTGTGACACCCCATTTCCAGTCCAGAAATTGGTTGATAGCTTTAAGGGAAAATAAAAAAGCTTCATGGGGCAGGTGAGATAGTACAGTGGATAAAGCACTTTATCTTGCACACAGCCAACCTGAGCCCTATCCCTGGTAGCACATATAGTCTCCCCAAACTTGCGCAAGGAGTAATCCTTGAGTATCACTGGTATGGCCAAGAAATTCACATAATTGTTCCCCTTCATTGCAAAAAATAAATAAAATCTGTAATGATTATGTGGTGAAATATGATAAGTCTAAAAATTTGCACTGAAGGCAATGCATAGTTTGAGCAGGAAAGATCTCTCGATGCCAGGAAGGAGTCTCAAGAAAGAATAAGAAGCAGTTGCAAACAAGACAATTTTCCTGGGGTGGCTCTCTATGACTTCTGTTCTCCACGTCATTGCCAAAGTGATAAACCTTTTCTTGCAAGTCTTAAAAGTGTGGGTATCCACATGGAAAGTATCATTCTAAGCGAAATGAGTCAGAAAGAGAGGGACATACATAGAAAGATTGCATTCATTGGGGAACATAAAGTAACAGAATAGGAGACTAACACCCAAGAATAGCCGAGATAAGTACCAGGAGATTACTCCATGGTTTGGAGGCTAGCCGCACATGCTAGGGGAAAAGACAGCTCAGATAGAGAAGGGAGCACCAAATAAAGGGTGTTGGGAGGTTCCTCTCAGGATGGGAAATGCGTGATGAGAGTAGACTATAGACTGAACAAGATTGCCATTCATTGCCTCTTTTGCAAACCACAGCACCCCAAAGGAGAGAGAGAACAAAAGGGAATGCCCTGCCACAGAGGCAGGGTGGGATGGGGGGGTGGGGAGTGGGAGGGATACTGGGATCAGTGGTGGTGGAGAATGGGCACTGGTGGAGGGTTGGTTGTTCGATCATTATATAACTGAAACCCAAGCACAAAAATCTGTAAGTCTACAACTGTACCTCATGGTGTTTCACTAATAAAAAAATTTTTTTAAAAGTCTGGGTATAATATTATAAAGGACTTGACAGGAAACCATTTCATATTTTGAGTGTTTTCATTCTAACGAAAACCAAAAAATGTGTTATCATGTGTCCTTGCCCATTCCTTTATGAAACTTCCTGTTTTCAGAATGGGGGAGGTTTAAGTCCAAACACTCAATACAGCAAGAGATGAGAGAAGAGTCCTCCAATATTTTGAGAATTACCTTTCGGGTTCCCATAAATTCATCAGCATGGTCCTGGCTCTCCCGGATCGGAGAGGGGAACTTCAACTGCTGCCTGTTGCTTGAGTCCTAATCATGAGGCTTATCTTCATTAGCAGGGGCACAGGGGGAGTCCACCTTTCTCTGTTTATCTGGTCTCCCCCAAAACCTCATGGTGTTCATTGATGGCCTTGGAAAGTTGTGTCACAGAAGATTCTAGAGCTTCATTACTCGTTGATCTATGTCAGAATTCAGATGATATTCACTTCCCCAGTTATTTCCTGGAAAAGGATTCTTTCAGAAGTTTGGCATTGAACCAGCGCTAATCTTGCCTGCTGGAACCTTCGGTTGAGAAAGAATCCCCTTTATCATATAACAATGTTACAGATGACATTTTCTTTTCCCTCATTATGGATGTTTGACTGGGAAAAGTGTGTGTGAACAAAAGGGAACTTATTTGGGATAAACAGATCTACCATAAAATTTTCTCATGTTAAATCCATTGGAATCCTAAAACAACTACAGAAGAACCAAGATTGTGGTTCATTTGTGAAATGCTTGATTAAGGGACAGCAAGAATGCAAATCCAAGAAGACAGTTGGCCTACTGACTTCTGGTCCAGGGCTGTCTTAGACCATTAACAGCTGCTAATGAAGTTGACTTTATCTACAATTTTTATAAACTCACAAGGCATCATGATTACTTTGTAATTTTTTGTTTGGGGGGCCACACCCCATGATGCTCAGGGATCACTGCTGGCAGGGCTCAAGGGGACCATCGTGGGTGCCAGGAATCAAATTGTGCAAGGCAAGCGCTCTACCCTCTGT